TTTCTCAAAAAATAAAAATAAAAAATCAATTGTTCAACAAAATAATTGATGCCATGGGTTCGTGCATATGTTACTAGATAGTTGACAAATTTTGCTACATTGTTTTGTTCTTTAATCTCGTACAAAAATTGCATATTTACTATGATGTTACAGAACGACAATTATTTAAATACGACCATATAATTGAAAAGTCAAGGGATCAACACGTCAAATGCTACATTGTTTTGTTCTTTAATCTCGTACAAATATTGCATATTTACTATGGTGTTACATAACGACAATTATTTAAATACGATCATATCATCGAAAAGTCAAGGGATCAACACGTCAAATTTTAATAAGCAAATGAAATATTTTCATTAAAATTATCGTGGAATCGAAAATGAAGTTTTCATTCTATATATCATATCATGAATTGGTTTAGAATGTCGTGAGACAGTTCAATTCATATTCGGTATAGGCGATAAGACATTAAGAAGATCGAAAATGACACACCCTTGATGTACCCGATATTGTGTTTACATAAACACTGGCTAGTCCGACGACCTCTAAACTATGATTAACAAATTCTTCTCATTTACTTAGGATTTTTCCATTCAAGCTATTTAAATTTTGCATATTCTCTTCATTCCCAATTGGCGTCTATGTCCATATTTCCGTCAAAGCTTGGAGGCAAATAGGTCTTTTGGTTAATTTATTAATGAATCTACCATACGTTCACCCTTTTTTTTTGCTATCCTTCGTATAATTTGTTTATTGGCTGTAAAGTCATGCTTGTTCACTCGCACTTTGATAATCACTTTTGTTGACGTGGAAAAGCTATAGGCTCGCTAACGTTGTTGTGAGTTTGTATATGATTTTGACTCGCATATGGTTTAACTAGCTTTGATACAGTTCCCCTAGCAGGAACTTAGGCGTTTTTACTTTTTATTCTATTATTTTAATGATAATGTAATCAAATGTTGTCGACTTCAAACTGGTCCAAATATCCACGATTATAAAAAAAAAAAAAAAAATGTTGTCGACTTGATCTATTATGAGTAAAAACAAAATAAAGCGTCCATAATAATATCAATTCAATCCTTTGGTCTGAAGTTGGGTT